AGAGACGATTATTTGTGAAAAGGCAAGGAAGTTGCATGCCGATCTGGTACAGAAAACTCCTGGAACCAGTGCTAATAGTGAATTTAAGGCCAGCAGAGGCTGGTTTGACAGATTTAAGAAGCGTACTGGCATACACAGTGTTGTAAGACATAGTGAGGCAGCCAGTTCAGACAAATGGGCGACTGAGAAGTTTGTACAGGAGTTTAAGGTTTATGTAGACACTGAAAAATTCAAACATCAACAAGTGTTCAATTGTGACGAAACAGGCCTGTTTTGGAAGAAAATGCCAAAGAGGACCTACATTACCCAGCCCATGGACCAGCAGGTCATTTCTAACTTCAAAAAACTGTACACAAAGCAGTGTTTGAAAAGTGCTTTGAAGTGACCGCAGACTTAACCCTTTCAGGGTCCGTCCCGTAGATCAACGGCTTTACGTTCAGGGTCCAAACCGTAGATCTACGTCATTAGCTCAGCTCACTCTGATAAACTGAGAGTGGTAAATTTGGGCCTAGATATGAGAGAATACATCTATGTGGTATGTGTGCACCACATAAAACAAATCCTGCAGCACACTGTGTATAATGAGAGAAAAAACTGAGACCATGATTTTCGATTAAAACAGCGACTTTGCAGTGTTTTTTCTTCGTATGTTTTTTATAGTTGTATTTGTGATTTCTTGGTCTCATTTGATAGAATGGACATATTACAGAAATAGAGATAATTTTGATTGGTGTTAGCACTGGAAATGGCTTGAAATTGAGCTCAAAGTGGCGGAAATGTTAAATTTTTGCCGATGTTCAAGAGTAAACAAACGACCTCACACGTCTAATACATGCCAGCTGGTGGGTCTAATATACATTCACAAATGTGGTGATGATATTTATACAATTATTACAATATTGCATAACAGTAAATCTTCTATTTTTTGGTGTGAATAAAAATTCATTATGTGAATGAAAAATCAAAATGGAATTTATTTGTAAAGCCTCAAAACATAACTAATGAACAGAGGAAATGATAGTTTAGTGCCAGGAATACCTACATTGTTTATTCTGGACCCTATTTTGAAATCGGAATATTTTGAACTTTGTGTTAAATTGGCCAAATTACCAATTTCCGGTCACTTTATTTTGTAGTTGAAACAGTTGACTTGGCGATTTCTTGTGCTCAATCGATAGAATAGAAGTAATACTAGTGAAATAGCTGAGAATTTGGTCGACTGGAATAATGTAATTGGCCTAAAATGGGAGTCAAAGTCGGCAAAATCGCTGATTCGTAAATATCGCTGACACATCAAAATTCACGAGAGCATAATTTCGTCAATTTTCCATCAAATTTCGTACTTTTTGTTTTATTACATTCACAAAAAGATTGTCTACCATTTCATAAGAAAAAATAACAATTTTTTTTTTTTAAATTCTTGGACACTGGGGCACCACTTCAGATTTTGGCCTTGGACCCTGAAAGGGTTAACTAAGTTGACCCTAAGAGAGTTCTGGAGGAATCACTTTAGTATCTACAGCTCCATAATCCTTATAGGTAAGGCTTGGGTGGGAGTGGCTTTCAGGACTTTGAACTCTGCTTGGAGACAATTGTGGCCAGATTGTGTCCAAAAGAGGGATTTTGAAGGGTTTGAGGCTGACCCTGGCCCAGCTGACCCTCTGCCTGTTCTGGACTCTATTGTGGCATTGAGGAACACCCTGGGGCTGGAGGTGAGTGGCGAGGATGTGGAAGAGTCGGTGGAGGACCACAGGGAAGAGCTAACCACTGAAGAACTGGAAGAGCTTCATCTGGAACAGTATCAGACCACAGCTCAGGAACTTGCTTCAGAGGAGGAGGAAGAGGGAGTGGATGAGGTGCTTTCTTCAAAGATTAAGGAGATTTGCACCAAGTGGAATTATGTCTAAATGTTTGTGGAGAAGTACCACCCTGAGCAAGCTGAAGCAAGCCATCTTTGCAACAAGTTCAGTGACAGAACCATGTCCCATTTTAGGGAAATCTTAGAGGTACCAGAAACAGAGGACTATGGACAGTTATTTTGTGAGACAGGGGTCCAGTGACTCTCAAGCTGGTCCTAGTGGCATTAAAAGACGGAGAAGGGAAGTAACCCCAGAGAGGGCTTTGGTACCTAAAGTCCTTATGGAGGGGGATTCCTCTTCCAAACACTAACCCCAACTTCCTCTCTCCTCCTCTCTATCTTCCAGATGCCATCACCAGTCTTCAATAAAGGTAAGTAAAAATGCTATTTTATGTTATTTAAATTTATTAATAATTGTACACTATATTTGTTGTGTGTATGTAAAACTATAATGTAATACTATCTATAAAATGTATTTTTTTGTGAATATTTTTGGGTTTCTGGAATGGATTAATTGTATTTCCATTATTTCTTATGGGAAATATTGCTTCGCCTTTCAAACTTTTTGACTAGAACTAGCTCCTTGAACGGATTAAGTTCAAAATTTGAGGTTCCACTGTATACCAGAAATGTTATAAATGATGCAAATGTGACATTAAAACAATACCAGATATGAATGACACAAACCCACTACCATTATAGTATGCTTTTCACTTAGCGACAAATTTGTTTACCAGTGTAGTCTTAGGAAAGGAACTCTATCGTTAAGTGAGGAGAGGCTGTATTGTAATAAACAGAATAGAGGAAATCAGCTCTAGTATATGTTATTTAGGCATGCATACTGGTTAGATAGCTCGCTGTAAGTCCGATTCATCGGTAAATGAGTATGTCGCTAAGTGAGGAAAGGCTGTATGTTCAATACTCATCTCTATCATAAATGTTGCAACCATGGCTGCTGTGTAATTTGTTGTTTCCAACTCCCAAAGTGCATTTTCAAGTTTTTAGGAAATTCACTTTGTATCCCATCATATTTTGAATACAACAATTGTGCTGCATTTCTAACAAGCACAAAAAAGTTTGTAAATAAAGACAAAATATTTCACCACTCATGGTGAAACTTTTCCTCAATAAATTTCTTGAAGTGTTCATGTGTCATCATACCAACCAGCAAGTTTTTTTTTCCTTGGACATACTGATATTCAGGGCGATGAACATGCAGACACCCACATGGTCAGATTCACAAATTGCCTGTACCGATATCCTGCAAGTGTGTTTCTGTTTCCAGTTCTGTACTCTCCTACCTTATAAATGCAACAATGTTGGTCCCATTTAGAATACAATCATTTACTTAATATACAGGCCATCTCCTGCTGACGTAAGATGACCCGGAAAGGTAGAAACATTTTCACTGTTATTCAAGAACATAAGAAAGAAGGAACACTGCAACATGCCTACTGGCCTATGCGAGGCAGGTCTAATTCTCCCACTGGCTTAAGCCAATGCCTTGATCTAGTCAAGTCAGACACATCACTTAAGGGAGGAGCATGGCATCCGACCTAGTAGCACAAGCTAGTCAGGTCCACCCACCCACACTCACTCATGTATTTATCCAACCTACTTTTAAAACTACACAACGTCTTAGCTTCTATGACAGTACTCGGGAGTTTGTTCCACTCATCCACAACTCTATAACCAAACCAGTGCTTTCCTATATCCTTCCTGAATCTGAATTTTTCCAATTTAAAACCATTGCTGCGAGTCCTGTCTATGTTAGATATTTTTAGCACACTATTTACTTCCCCTTTATTAATTCCTGTTTTCCACTTATACACCTCAATGACTGCCTTGCAAGAAGCTTGCTGACATCACAGTTTGGATGGCCCTTGAAGTACAACATCCTCACCCCTCCAGAGTGTAGGCACCATACTTCATACCTCCAGGACTCAAGTCCAGCTAACTGGTTTCCCTGAATCCCTTCACATATGTTACTTTGCTCACACTCCAACAGCATGTCAAATCACAAAAATCACTTCCCTGTACTCCTAACACACTCACAAGAACATTGCATGTCCATGCCTCTAGCGCTCAAAACCTCTTTAACTCCCTCTCTGGGATGACTACAGATAAGGGCTCTTGATCCAAGGAACTGGACTTCTCTTCCTTAGAACCTGAATGCCTCCCAAATTCCTAGGTGCTATGTGACCCCCTATAGGTTTAGTGTTTGCCCCCAGATTAAAAGAATCCTGGGATGATCTTTACCCCTCCATCCCTTCACCCCAGATTTGTATGCCCTCCAAGTCATCCTATTTTGCTCCACTCTCTAAATGTCCAAACCACCTCAACCCTCCCCTCCCCTCAAGGAAGGTTCCTTGACACTGGTGAGGGGCTCTTGATCTAGAGAATTGGATCTGTGCTCCAATTCCCTGAATTAAGCCTGAATACCTTCCACATCCTCCCCCACAGGTGCTGTATAATCCTCCCTTTTTAGCACTTCCCCCTTGATTATAATAATCAACCCTCCCCTCCTCTGCCCTCAGAATAGTATTTTTGGTAATTTCTAGCAAGCACCTGGCAGGTGCTCCTGGCAACTTCCTCACATGGGACATGGACACCGTTCCATGAAATGTGTTGGAGAGACTGGCAAGAAGTCTATTGTCTTGAGCAAACATCGAGGTACCTGTAATGGGGATTAGTTAGTGCCTACATCATCCACAAACTCCTTGGGACATACGACAAGTTGGAAAGTGGCACAACTCATCCCCACTCAATCAAATTTTAGACATAAAAGGTTCCTGGAAGCCCGTGAAGTGATACATTAACCCTTAAACGGTCCAAATGTATATATACGTTTTCTTGTGTAGCTCCCCGAATTTTTTGAGAAAAATTTTTTTTTTAATAGGAAAAATGAGCATATGGTACCCAGGCATCCCCAATTTTTTTCATATGGCGCACAGTGAGTGCGCACACCCATTCTCTCATGTCTTGGCGACTCAGGCTTATCGTGTCAATGTTGAATGAATGACAAAGGAAATGTATATACATGTTTTGGGCGCTACATGAGAGAACGTATATATGTATACGTTTGGACTGTTTAAGGGTTAAAGTATCTGGAGGTTATAATTTTTAGTCAATAAAAAACAAATAAAATGGTTTATATTTAATAAAATAATTTATATACAACAGTTTCATCATTTCAGAACCTTCAGCTCTAAAGCTGAGAGAATTTCAATACAATATAAACTTCAGCTGAGGCACTAAATTAGGACTGAGTACTTATATGCTGCAACATCCTTTATATATTAAAAGTTAGATTACTTAAGAAAAAGCATAAGTTTCACTTGTAAAGGAATTTGTGGACTGGCAGTATCATAATAATTAAATTTCTTTCATAATGAAACAGGTATATCACAGGCATAAATGTACTAGATATAGGAATTTTTCGCAAAATTTTCTCTCAAAACATTCAAGCAAATAGCATTCTATAGGATTATACTTTTTACTGATTATTATTTTTATAATAATCTTAAATAATTACTTACCTAAGTCTTGAAAATTATGTAATTACCCAAAAAATATAATTAATATAACTGATGTTTTCTAATGATTATAAATAAAAATTGAGTTTTAAAATAGGCTGAATGACAACGTAAGTGCCAAGTCCTCGGAGGCAGACAGAGGTGGTGGTAGTATTTTGTCATTTTTATCATTATATTCATGAAAGCACTAAATGTTTGTAGAGAGAATTAGCGCTTCTTTTTGATTATAATAATTGTAGAGAGAAATGGGAATATTTCTCTCGACACGCATCTTTGGTCATCAGATAACCCAATCAGTGGCACTTTCAATCATTTGACCAAGGCCTACCACTGGCTCACTGGTCTGACCTGTAAAATGGCAGGTTTTTCCACCCATTTTGTACAATAGGCAAATCATTCATAGCATATAAGAAGTGCAGTATTAGCCGGAGGCTAGCAACTACTGTTCTTAGTCATAAATGTAAGAATTGCTTCAATACATGTATATACATATACTGTATTGTATCATCAAAAAATACTCAGTAGTATCTTAAATACCATCACTGCTCTGTTGATGTCCTTTCCACATATTTTATCTCTTGTATAGCACTCGATGACATTCGCAGATTTAGTGCTTTTCATGAATATAGTACAGTAATCATGGTAATGCTCAACAGAGAAAAATATGCATGTGAACTATATACTGTATTTAAAATCTGACTACAAATAATTTTGACAGTACAATATATACATAACATTTCTTCCAGTAACTTGACTACAAACATGATTTTTTTCTCACAATAGGAAATAGTGCTGCAAAAATTTCTTGGCAAATAGTTAAAACTACTAAGCTCATTTTATGCCAATCAAGTGTTAATCTATACCAGTATACACTTTATTTTGCAAGTACTGTAACTGAGTTGTGAATATTTGAAGCTTTTATAAATAACTAGTGAGATTTGCACCAGTAGCTAAGAAACATATCTATTAAAAACAGTTACATTATTTAAAAACCTTAATTAAAAAAACTGTCAATGCCTGCAAACTATCAATGTCAGCAAGGTCATTCTTAGCAAATACCTGAACCAGTTAAATTTATTTAAGAGGTATAGTTTCACTCTTTTCTATGCTTGTTGGATCTAATAGCTTCCCCTTCTCTGAGAATATAATACTGTATATGCTACAAGTCATGTTTCACCTTATTTCCAATGTGTACCCTGCCTGCTTTGCTTGTAATTAGTGCCTAACAATCGGTAAGACATTTCCCACTAGGCAGCGCCTGGATCTTATTGATCACGCTTGAATTACGAGCTAAAAGTGCTGAATTGGCATTAATTTGCTGTCCAGTTTTGTATTTGTGATTTATAAATAATATAGCACACATCGAAGTAACCAGTGGGTTGGATGTTTGTCTATACGTATTTGTAAGAGTTCATGACTAATTGGGCGTGTAGTACAATGAAATATTCCCTTGGATTACATGCCCAGTCATGTTCAGTGCTTACATTCTTCCCTGTTTGGCAGGCTCCTGAGTTCTCTCACAGTATTTCTTAATGACCCTTGGATTATTGCAAATTTTCATCTCACTAAGTTCCCCCTTTTGGGTTTAGTGCTTGGTTTTAATTATAATAATAGTAATAATTCTAGGTAGTAGGTTGGTAGACAGCAACCGCCCAGGGAGGTACTACCGTCCTGCCAAGTGAGTGTAAAACGAAAGCCTGTAATTGTTTTACATGATGGTAGGATTGCCGGTGTCCTTTTTTCTTTCTCATAAACATGCAAGATTTCAGGTACGTCTTGCTACTTCTACTTACACTTAGGTCACACTACACATACATGTACAAGCATATATATACACACCCCTCTGGGTTTTCTTCTATTTTCTTTCTAGTTCTTGTTCTTGTTTATTTCCTCTTACCTCCATGGGGAAGTGGAACAGAATTCTTCCTCCGTAAGCCATGCGTGTTGTAAGAGGCGACTAAAATGCTGGGAGCAAGGGGCTAGTAACCCCTCCTCCCGTATAAATTACTAAATTTAAAAAGATAAACTTTCATTTTTCTTTTTGGGGCACCCTGCCTTGGTGGGATATGGCCGGTTTGTTGAAAAAAAAAAAACACCTACCATCCGACTTACGACCACTCGACTTACGCCCGTGTTTTTTATGCCAAATTTCTGGGAAATAAACAACTATTTATGTTGTACACAGTGTTTATCCTAAACCTTACAGTGTAAAATACAATAACAACATAAAAAGTAAAGTAAAACATGAAATACCAAAATAAAACAATAAAATAAAGTCATTACAAAAATGTTTTGTTGATATTCAGTAGTAAAGTTCGACTTACGACCGGTTTCTCGGAACCGAACTCGGTCGTAAGTCGGATGGTAGGTGTAGTAATAATCTCACTAAGTGTAAAACCAATATTTTTGTTTACCAGTGTGAAGACAAGGCTTATAATCAGCTTATTTCAAATATGTCTGCAGTCCTTACAAAAAAAAAATGAAATGCCAAAGCTCCTTCTTATGCACTAGGTACATCAAATATGGTTCATTTTTTCAACCTACAGATCATGCAATTACCTACCCTGATAGTGCAGTGAGGTACAGTTTTGTTGTGAGTAGGAAATATGTTTCCATGTTCCTGCATTTTGTGCAGTAAGAGATTAACAATTTGATATTAGATTCACTGGATATTGTTGTTTTCTTACTAGCTCTATAGTTATGTAGCTACTATTGACTCTTGCTTCATTTTCTTATGCTGATTTCTTATTCTATACAATATGGACAATATAGTCTAAATGCACATAGAAACAATCCTAAGAGTAAAGTTGTGATAATTCAGTGAGAATGATGACTGAAAAGTGTCTATACAATTTCTAAAATTTTTGTATAGTGCACTGCATACTTGCCAGCTAACAGTGTTCCTCAGTTCTCAGGGTCAGTTCTTAACCCTTAAACTGTCCAAACATTGATCTACGTTCGCTCGCATAGCGCTCTGAACATAGATCTATGTTTTTTTACATGCTTTCTTATGGAGAAAATCAAGGTCAGAGTGCTACGCACGCAAACGTAGATCTACATTTGGACAGTTTAAGGGTTAAGTATTGTATAAACACTAAGATTCAATTACGGTTCTCTTATCAGTCAAAAGTTTTTCAGCTGCTGAGGGTTTTGTTTATACATCATACATCTGGTGAATCTTGGTGCACTTCAACCTAGGTAGCTCAGGTTCTCATGCCATGTGAGTTTAAACTTTTACTTTCTTTTGACTATGGGTGTTTTTGGTTCTTTGGTCTCATTGGCTTTAATTCCCTCTGAAATTATAAGATACCCATGGCTAACTATATGATTCCATATAAGCTAGATACTACACATTCTATAGGGCAACGTCTCGTACATTTTTTTTTTCTGGCCACTACTGCAGGAGTACTCCTAAAGGATGGTAAAATATCAACTTATAGAAGGTATTCTATGTCAAAGATATACAGAAGTGCAACAATACCATACAATAACCATGGTACTGTATATGTCTAAGGCTGTTCAAGATACAGCAACAATGCATACAAGTGTTTTGTCAGATGCTAATCATAGTTTATAACAGCAACACCAGTGTATACAGATGTATGTCCAATCTATTTAATACAGGTATATAGAGTACAAATCCATGGAGAAGTAGAAAAAGAATCCTTCCTTTGTAAGCCATGCATGTTGTAAGAGGCGACTAAAATGCCAGGAGCAAGGGGCTAGTAACCTTCTGTATAAATTACTAAATGTAATTGAAAAAAAATTATAAAATGTATTTTTTTTCTTTTTTTTTTGGGTCACCCTGCCTCAGTGGGAGACAGCCAGTGTAAAAAAAATATAGAGTACATTAACTATGTTGTATTTTAATTAATATTTTGTATATAGCTTTCATACAAGTTCCTCAATTCCTCAAACAAGTTTTTTAACACACCGGCTGTCTCCCACCAAGGAAGGGTGATCTGAAAAAGGAGAAAACACTTTCACCATCACTCACTCTATCACTGTCTTGTCAGAGGCATGCTAATACTACTTCAGATGCACTTTCAAACTGCAATATTCCTACCCGTCCTTCAATGTGCAGACACTGCATGTACTTCCCATTTCCAGGACTCGAGTTCAGCTTATTGGTTTCCCTGAAACCTTTCATAAATGTTACCTTCCTTACACTTCAACAGCATGTCAAGTCATAAAAACTACTTTGCATCCATTCACTCCTACCAAATACTCCTTTCTGAATGCTCATGGGATATAGAACCCTCTATCTACCATAATATACATCTTGGGTAGGTGGGGAACTAAAGCATGTTTTCCTGTCAAGTATGAGTTCTTTGATGTCTTCTTTCACTGCTTTTAAAGATTAGACATGCTGTGCGACCTGATAATCACAAAGTGCGACACTCGCGTTAAAAAAAAAAAAAAAAAATTCAGTGATTCCATGTAAATTTTGATTGCCTCTGTTTCTCTTCACGGGTGATCTATATTTTACCCAAAGTCACACTGAGGTCATTTCCATATGTGAATCCTGTTAGGATTATTCTCATAAGTCATTATACCAAGTAAGCACAGAATATTTACCTCTTAATGAAAGAAAGACTTTTTATGCTGCAATGGATCAATTGCAGCTTTAGGACTCTCATAACTTTAACCGTTTCTCTGTTGTGCATGTTATCCTTGCGCTAAGAAAATGACAAGGCTGCAATAGTCTTTTACTGGTACATTTCATGTCATTTTCAGGTGGGCTTGAGAAAGCCCACCCTTAGCTGAAATGTTGCACCAATAAAGAACTGCACTTCAATTAGTAATTGTATCACCACTTGTCAGCATTACACCTCCAGTTTGCAAATCTGACTTTGTTGCTCAGAAGGAAAGCATGGTTGACATGATCAAAGGTCTGCTGAGTGAGAATTATGTCCTACCAGTTGCTAAACAGTAACTACTAGTGAGGTGGGTTGAGTACACAACAGTGATAGAATGAAAAATAGGACTTGTATCCCTGAAAGAATTTAATTGTGTAAGAAAGATAAGTGTATTCTCATGAGTTACTGGACCCACTGATAAAAACCCTTTTCCTGTCAATCAAAGAAAAGTATTCCATTACAGTACAGCCTCTCCTCACTTTATGATGGAGTTCTGTCCCTAAGACCACATCAGTAAACAAATTCATTGCTAAGTGAGGAGCATACTATAATGGTAGTGGGTTTGTGTCAACTATCTTTGATATTGTTTTAATGTCACCTCTGCACCATTTATAACATTTCTGGTATATTTTTAAAATGTTTATACAGTAGTGTACTGTATATTGTAACAAACAGAATAGAGGAAATCAGCTCTAATGTACATTATTTAGGTATGCACACTGGTCAGAGTGCCTGTCGTAAGTCCAAGGCATTGGTAAACGAGTACGTCGCTAAGTGAGGAGAGGCTGTATATGCCAATGACATCACTGATTTAATGATTTTCCACTAAAAGAATGGTAAAGGAATAAATGTGTAACTAATATTTTATGCATTTAGTTCAGCTGTGGATTGACCTCACTTTAGAGATAATCAAAAAATAAGCATCAACCACATACTCAGCACCAAATAATTCTCAAAGAAATTAAGTAAACCTATTATGATTTATTTTGCTTTTAAATACAAGTTAGTGTCACTTACAATATATTATCACAACTCGAAAGTGTATTGTAATAATAATAATGGCTAACGCATTATCTTACAAACCCAATATCATTCCGAGTACAAGCAGCTACAAAACTAAATATGTACTCATTGTAAATGTATATACACACATGCATATACACATTAGTATATTTGTAAATTTTCATTTAACATTCCACTACAAAATCTAACAAAAGACTATACACCAGAAAATAAAATGATAGTATACACTGGATAAACAATAAGGCAAAGTACCATATATCACCATAATAATTCCTGAAATTGTGTATATTACAAGTAAACAAATCTAAGGTGAACAATGAAAAAAAAAGACTGTACATATATATGTATTTAAAATGATGTAACAAACTCAAAAGAAAAAACAAAAAAAAACTTGTAAACTACTGTATTTGAGCACTACTAATATAGCTTCTTATGTAAAAATAAATACTATTCTTTATAGTGAACATGAGCTGCAACCCTTAAGTTATTAAATATAGAGTTACCTATATATGGAACCTTGTGAAATAAAGGTATGCCTTGGTGTTTTCCCTAAAAGGTATTATCAAGTGCTTGGTATTTGTGAGTGGTAGCTGGAAGAACAGCAGACACTGAGTAAATTCTTAGGTTACCAGCAGTGTAGCTTTCTTGTAAGAACATGCTTGTGGCAATCAGCAGAACCATCTGTTGACAAACAATAAATATATTAAATTGCCTTATTTACTGTTTAATGTACGTTATGCCCTTAATGGTATAATGTTACTGTGGGATAATTGTTCAGTAAATCTGATTTTTATATCAATATTCATAAGTTTTCTGAATTAAAAATATGCAAGGTTTTTGGAATTTCAAATGGGATCCCCATCAATATACCTTACATAAATAAAAAAAAAAAACATACTCAGCAGTATAATTTATCATCTTGCCATTCAAACAAATTTTTTAAGATGGCCATATGTGTGCCATGTGCATAATAGTGTTCATGCTCCCTCATAACTGCATCAATGCACATAAAATCTACATATTCCACTGTGACAGATTTGTATTCAGTGCTTTTAAGTATGGCAAACTTAACATCAATATACAGTATTACATCCAGCACTTACAAGAGCAACGTGCATGGCACATACAGGCAACCACACTCCTCGGCTCAATGTGTGGTAGTCAAGTCCAATGGCATGTAGCACTGTGGGGAAGCAACCCTGGTGGAAAGAATGCATATAATAAAACACCTATTTTTTCTTTAATTAAATAATTTTCCTTGGTAAAAATTGAGGTAAAGTGATATACTAGGTACCAGTGCTTACAAAACTTGGCATGCACACATCTTTCCCCCACCCCCACGCAAACACACAGTATATGACAAAACAAATAAGTTTCCCCATGTGAACCAGGTTAAAATTCTTCCTTAATAAGCCATACATGTCACTCAATTCAAATGAAATGTCAAAGGCAAAGGTCTGGTTCCTCATATCCCTGTAATTAACAATTAAAAACAAATTTTTTCTCTAGGGCAACTTGCCTTGGTAGAAAATACCTCACAAGTTAAAGAAAAACAAGATAAACTATCAGACACTAATGCTATTATCCTATGCTGCTCACCTCGGTTATTACTTCATCTTCAGGATCAACTACATTTGCAATGTCTTTCCCACAGCCAGGTTCTACCATAAGACAGCAGGAGTCTGGGACATCTGTACCATTTCCAAAAGTTGTGGTAAACCAATCTTTGTAGCTAATAGTACCACAGCAGTTCATCTGAAAATTTAATTTGTTTTTATTAGCTGCATAAATCTCTTCAGTTATATCAACAATATAATTTTCAAATATGTAATTTACAATGATCATTTCATTTCATTCTAATACATACCAATAACTGTTTTAGATGATAAAATGTTGCCATTACACAGTCTTATAGACTACCATTTGTTTTTAAAATTTATCAGAAATTCTTTGTTACTTCATGACTTAAAGAATTAGAATGAAGATTTCTTTATTATGGCAAATTATATATGAATATTAGTAGATTCTACACACAGATGGAGTACTAACTCCCTCAAATCTGATCAAAAGTTGAGTAAAGTATAAACACAATTCTTTTTATTTCTATGAAACTGGTAAATTTGATCAACTTTCAAACAGGTTATTGCTTTTACAAAACTATACACACTTACATTATTCATCATAAATAATAACCCACCTCCATCTGGATTTCATCCCACAGCTGAGTATCAGACTCTTTCTCCCCATAATCTGCTTGGGTTCTCTCCATAGACTCACCCATGAAGTCACCCAGTGCCTGGGAGAGTGCATGCTGTTTCTGATAAACTATTGTTGTGGCTACAATTTCTGTCACCACCATCAACAGGAGCAGAGACAGACACTATTGGAATAAAATTACTATATTCAATTTTCTTGAAAGACACTGTACATTTACAAAAATCCTAAACCCATATACTAAAATTTTTGTGTGTTTTACAGATAAAATAGTAATAAAATGTCAAGGCACAATTCTACTGAGCCAACAATAAAATTATATTAGTATGCTTTATATCCCGTATGATACAAAAATGTCATTTTGACTAGCTTTATCAATAAGACAGAAGCAACTACTATGTAGTAACAGCAAAACCCACAAACAAGGACAGTATTCACTTCAGTATTTAGTATCTGATTTTCCTATTAGGGGCTAAACTTCATACTACAACCCTTGATAAGCTGATCTTTTGAACTTTAGACTGTATTATATCTATCTCTATGTCTCTCTCTATTCTCTCTATCTCTATCTCTCTCTCCTACACACACACACGTATATGTATATAATTACATGGTTAGTCATGTCAAAAATTAAAAAAACATCATAAAATTGGGAAAACAAGTTGACTTTTTTTCTTAAACTGATCCACATTAAATATATTTAACACACTGCTTTTTATGGCACTACCAAATTTTCAATAGTAACAAATATACTGCATGCTATACTTACAATCTTGAATGCTCGTGGCTTAGGAGCCAATGTAGCAATAGCACCAACAGTGCTTGTGGCAGTTATTCCAACTCCAAGCATCAAAATCATGCCCACTGCCACCCAAAGCCAGGCAGGCATCCAAGGGGAAAGATAAGCCACATATGATGTCAGGAGGCTTGCACCAGTATAGCCCACAGCTATGCCAGTGCCCTGAAACAACACTTTCATTTATATACAGTTAAAGAAGTTCATTAATGTACAGCACTTAGTACAAATTAAACTGTTGAGAATTATCACAGACTACTTATGTACAGATTTAATTAAGCTGCCAACTCTGAGGTTATGCTTTGTAGCACTCGTCTCCCAGCCTGTCCAGTGTACTCCTAAGTTGCTTTGTATAATAGTGCAGTTAGGTAGCATGTCTGTCTCACAATTACAAGATGGAAGACTGCACATCTGCTGAAACTTTCACTTCATAATCATTAAATATATTTTTTTTTTCAACAAGTCAGGCATCTCCCACCTAGGCAGGGAGACCCAAACAGAAAGAAAATCCCCAAAATGAAAATACTTTCATCATCATTCAACACTTTCACCTTACTCATACATAATCACTGTTTTTGCAGAGGCACCCAGATACAACAGCTCAGAAGCATATATAAATATACAGTGGACCCCCACATAGCGATATTAATCCGTGCAAGAGAGCTCATTGTTATGCGAAATTATCGTTATGCGAATGAATTTTCCCCATAAGAAATAATGGAAATCAAATTAATCCGTGCAAGACACCCCAAAGTATGAAAAAAAAATTTTTTACCACATGAAATATTAATTTTAATACACACAAACTGAAAAAGGCATGCACAATTACATGACACTTACTTTTATTGAAGATCTGGTGATGATTGATGGGATGGGAGGAGGAGAGAGTGTTAGTGTTTAGAAGGGGAATCCCCTTCCATTAAGACTTGAGGTGTCAAGTCCTTTTCTGGGGTTACTTCCCTTCTTCTTTTAATGCCACTAGGACCAGCTTCAGAGTCACTGGAGTTCTGTCGCACAACATATCTGTCCATAGTGGCCTGTACCTCTCGTTCCTTTATGACTTCCCTAAAGTGTTTCACAACATTGTCAGTGTAATAGTCACCAGCACGGCTTGCAATAGCAGTGTGAGGGTGATTTTCATCCATGAAGGTTTGCACTTCAAGCCACTTTGCACAGATTTCCTTAATCTTTGTAGTAGGCAATTTCTTCAATTTCTCTCTCCCCTCCTTCGAACCAGTTTCCTCAGGTCTGGCCTCTTGCTGTTGAAGTTGATCTGCTGTTGAAGTTGATCTATCAGCTCATCAGTGGTTAGTTCTTCATTGTCCTCCTCCACCAACTCTTCCACATCATCCCCACTAACCTCCAACCCCAAGGACTTTCCCAGTGCCATAATGGATTCCTCAACTGGCATAGGATTCTCAGGGTTAGCCTGAAACCCTTCAAAATCCCTTTGATCTACACATTCTGGCCACAGTTTCTTCCAAGCAGAGTTCAAGGTCCTCTTAGTCACTCCCTCCCAAGCCTTACCTATAAGGTTTACACAATTGAGGATATTAAAGTGCTCTCTCCAAAAGTATCTTAGAGTCAGTTGAGTTTCTGAGGTCACTACAAAGCACCTTTCAAACAGAGCTTTTGTGTACAGTTTTTTGAAGTTTGCAATAGCCTGCTGGTGCATGGGCTGCAGGAGAGGAGTGGTATTAGGAGGCAAAAACTTCACCTTAATGAATTTCATGTCCCCATAAAGTCGCTCTGCCACGTCTGTAGGATGACCAGGGGCATTGTCTAACACCAGGAGGCACTTAAGTTCTAATTTCTTTTCAATTAGGTAATCTTTCACATTGGGGGCAAATGCTTGGTGTAACCAATCATAGAAAAAGTCCCTAGTGACCCATGCCTTACTGTTTGCCCTCCACAGCACACACAAATTCTCCTTGAGGACATTCTTTTGCCTGAACGGTCTGGGAGTTTCAGAGTGATACACTAATAAAGGCTTCACTTTGCAATCACCAGTAGCATTGGAACACATCAACAGAGTAAGCCTGTCTTTCGTAGGCTTATGTCCTGGGAGTGCCTTTTCCTCCTGAGTAATGTAGGTCCTGCTTGGCATTTTCTTCCAAAACAGGCCTGTTTCATCACAATTAAACACTTGTTCAGGTTTCAGTCCTTCAGTTTCTATGTACTCCTTGAATTCCTGCACATATTTTTCAGCTGCTTTGTGGTCCGAACTGGCAGCCTCACCATGCCTTATCACACTAAGTATGCCACTACGCCTCTTAAATCTCTCAAACCAACCTTTGCTGGCCTTAAATTCACTCACATCATCACTAGTTGCAGGCATTTTTTTAATTAAATCCTGATGCAACTTCCTAGCCTTTTCACTTATGATCACTTGAGAGATGCTATCTCCTGCTATCTGTTTCTCATTTATCCACACCAATAAGAGTCTCTCAACATCTTCCATCACTTGCGATCTCTGTTTCGAAAACACAGTTAAACCTTTGGCAAGAACAGCTTCCTTGCCTTTTTGTTGCCCACAATAGTAGCGATGGTTGATTGGGGTTTACTATGCAACCTGGCCAGCTCGGAAACACGCACTCCACTTTCATACTTATCAATGATCTCTTTCTTCATCTCTATAGTAATTCTCACCCTTATTGCTGTAGGGTTGGCACTAGAAGCTTTCTTGGGGCCCATGGTCACTTATTTTGCAGATAAAATCACCAGAAACACTGTAATAATACGAAATGTTCCGATTGTATGCTTGGATGTTACCGCGGAGGCTGGCTGGTAAACAATGCCACCGGTGGAATGTGTGAGGCTGGCTAAGGGCGCACATTAGACGCGTCTCGGACGAACAGCGTTGAGCGGGTTTTTTAGCGGTATGCAAGGCAAAATCTTGGCGATAAAATGTAGCGGTATGAGGATTTAACGTTATGTGATGCCAACAGTATGTGGGGGTCCACTGTACAATATAAAGTGATATACAGTGGAACCTCAAATTTCGAACATATCGCTTATCGAACTCTTCGAAAATACAGTGGACCCCGGTATTCGATATTAATCCGTTCCTGAGAGCTCATCGAATACCGATAATATCGAAAACCGAATCAATTTTCCTCATAAGAAATAATGGAAATCAAATTAATCCGTGCAAGACACCCAAAAGTATGAAAAAAAAAATTTTTACTACATGAAATATTAAGTTTAATGCAATAGAATAATTACAATAACAATAAAATAATTGACACTTACCTTTAATGAAGATCTGGTGATGAGTGGTGGGATGGGAGGAGGGGAGAGGTGTTAGTGTTTCGAAGGGGAATCCCCTTCCATTAGGACTTGAGGTAGCAAGCCCTTTTCTGGACTTCTGTTGCACAACATAACTGGCAGCCTCACCATGCCTAATCACACTATGTATGCCACTACGATTCTTAAATCTTTCAAACCAACCTTTGTTGGCCTTAAATTCACTCACATCACCACTAGTTGCAGGCAATTTCTTTACCAAATCGTCATGCAACTGCCTAGCCTTTTCACAAATGATCGCTTGAGAGATGCTATCTCCTGCTATCTGTTTTTCATTTATCTACACCAGTAACAATCTCTCAACATTTTCTAACACTTGCGGTCGCTGTTTCGTAATCACAGTTGCACCTTTTGCAAGAACAGCTTCCTTGATTGCCGTTTTCCTGGTCACTATAGTAGAGATGGTTGATTGGGGTTTATTATACAACCTGACCAGCTCCAACACACGCACTCCACTTTCGTACTTTGCAATTATCTCTTTCTTCATTTCATAAGTCATTAGCGACTTTTTTCTCGAAGGGTTGGCACTAGAAGCTTTCTTGGGGCCCATGGTGACTTATTTTGCAGAAACAAGCACCAAACACAGTGATAATACATGTATGGATAATATGGAATGTACTGAATGTATCCTTAGATGCGTGCACACTGGCTGGCTTGTAAACACTAGCACACACGGAGCAGTTCAGGCCACACGTGGACAGGTCTCGTACGAATCGTAACGAATACCGGGTTTTCAATCGAATACCGAGGAAAAATTTTTGCGTTAAAATGCATCGAAAACCGGATTTATCGAATACCGATGCCATTGAATACCGGGGGTCCACTGTAGAACCCCTTTTTTCGAGCCAACTTTGTCCCTATTATCAAACTCACCCCTATTTTCAAACCGCCAGGTACCGGACCTGTCCGGCAGCCCACTCTGTCCGCGTCCCCACGCAGGCGCCGTGAGCCAGTCTGGTTTTGTTGATGCTTGAGTGAACACTAACCTGCGCTCTCATTCAAACATTTTACGATTATTTCATTGTGTTTAGTGCTTGTGGGACTGTGAAATAAGCTACAATGGGCCCAAAGAAACTTGCTAGTGGTACCCCTGTGGTAAAGAAAGTGAGAAACACCATAGAAGGAAATAATACAGAAGTGGAATGATGTCCAAGTGGAATGATGTCCAAATGTTTGTGGAGAAGTACCACCCTGAGCAAGCTGAAACAAGCCATCTTTGCAACAAGTTCAGTGATAGAACCATGTCACATTTTAGGGAAATCATAAAGAGGCACCAGAAACAGAGGACTGTGGACAGTTATTTTGTGAGACAGGGGGTCCAATGACTCTCAAGCTGGTCCTTGTGGCATTAAAAGACAGAGAATGGAAGTAACCCCAGAGAGGGCTTTGATACCTGAAGTCCTCATGGAGGGGGATTCTCCTTCCAAACACTAACCCCAACTCCCTCCTTCCTCCTCCCTATCTTCCAGATGCCATCACTAGTCTTCAATAAAGGTAAGTAAAGTGTTATTTTATGTTTATTTATATTTATTAATACATAATTGAACACTATATTTGCTGTGTGTATGTAAAACTATAATTAATCTCTATAAAATGTATTTTTTTTGGTGAATATTTTTGGGTTTCTGGAACGGACTAATTGTATTTCCAATATTTCTTATGGGAAATATTGCTTCGCTGTTCAGACTTTTCGAATTTAGAACTAATTCCTGGAACAGATTAAGTTCGATATTTGAGGTTCCACTGTGCGTGCGTGCATGTGCGTATGCATGTGCATGTGTGTGTGTACTCACCTAATTGTGGTTGCAGGGGTCAAGACTTAGCTCCTGGCCCCGCCTCTTCACTGATCGCTACTAGGT